GTCGGTGCTGCCCCCAGGCCGGATGTCCCGGCCGCGCGCCGTGACCTCGCTCCTCGCCCTTGGCACGCGGAGTGGGAGCGGCGCCGAGTGTCTATATAAGGTTGTGCCGGGGGCTGCGCTCGGCTGCAGCAAAGTGACACCGGGCTCTCCCTCCCCTCCCCTGCCTGCCAGGCGCCAGGCCTTGCTGGATCTCCGACCCCGGGGGATCCTTCCAGCCCTGGCCCGGATCCTGCCCCTTGGGCTGGGTGATTTGGGGTCAGTGTCCTCCCTCGGTCCGACACCTCTGGGGAGTTGCAGAGGTGTAGACTCTGCTTCTTGGACTTCTTTTTTAAAACATTTTTTAGATGAGGATATGTGGCCTCCTTAGAATGTGTTCTATTTTTATGCAAGGCTTGCCTTGAGCAAATGTTTCTTGGTCATCTAGTACTGTAATTATTCTAGAATACCTGCAAACGTAATGAGCTGTGAAATTTAGCTTTAGAAAAAAAAAGTCAAGCACCCCAAACTTTGCGACCCTTTCTCCCACTTAGAGGTAAATGACTCCTATATCTCAGAATGGAAATAGTTTTTTTTCTTTTTCAGATGATAAAAATAGGTGCTTTTGTTTTGTAAAAAACCTGAAAAACTGCAAAGGAAGAAGGAGATCATTACAGTCAACACAGAGGTGGCTGCCCTTCCGGATTTCTCTCCTGTTCAGTTATACCTGTGTAGTTAGAGACATCAATGCATGATTCTTTGCAAACAGGATAATACTCTACTTGCCTGGTGGTGTGATTATTTATTTATTTATTTATTTATTTTCCCTATCCACATGCCAGAACCTGTATTTCCTTAAAACTATTCTGGAAAGCAGTTGCTTTGCAAAACAGAATGGGCTTTTGTATTCTCCTAGCATGAACATGGGACTCTATTTTCTTTCTGGGGAAGAATTCCTGGTGGCCCAGGCCAGGCCCCTGAGCAACTGCATACATTGTTTTTGTTTTGTTTTGTTTGAGACAGTATCTTCTCCCATCACCCAGGTTAGAGTGCAGTGGCTCAGTCAAGATCCTGCAGCCTCCAACTCCTGGGCTAAAGCCATCCTCTCCCTTTAGCCTCTCGAGTAGCTGAATCCTGGAAGCACACACCTCCATGCCTGGTTAATTTTTTTTCAAAAGTAATTTAAATTTTTGTAGAGACAAGATCTCACTATGTTGCCCAGGCTGTTCTCAAACTCTTGACCTTAAGCAGCCCTCCTGCCTTGGGCTCCTAAAATGCTGGGATTGCAGGCATGGGATTACAGCCATCGTACCTGGCCAATACCTTGGAAAATCTAAAGCTTAAGAGAGTAGGAGCAGCCAGGCGCGGGTGGCTCAAGTCTGTAATCCCAGCAATTTGGGAGGCTGAGGCAAGAGGATTGCCTGAGCCCACGAGTTCAAGACCAGCTCGGGCAACATGGTGAGACCTTGTCTCTAAGATAGATAGATAGATAGATAGATAGATAGATAGATAGATAGATGTCATCTCTAAGATAGATAGATAGATAGATGGATGGATAGATAGATAGATAGATAGATAGATGTCATCTCTAAGATAGATAGATAGATAGATAGATGGATAAGAGCCGGGTAGATAGATAGATAGATAGGTAGATAGATAGATAGATGTCATCTCTTAGATAGATAGATAGATGGATAAGAGCCGGGCGTGGTAGCACCCGCCTGTAGTTCCAGCTGCTTTGAAGGCTTTGGAAGGATCACTGGAGCCTAGCATGTCGATGCTGGGGTGGCCGTAAGCATGCCATTGCAGTCTAGCCTGGGCAACAGAGTGAGACTCCAACTCAAAAAAAAAAAGAGTAGGAGCCTTATGAGAGATGTAGGACACAAATGTCCTGAGAAAAAGAGGCTGAGAACCTGCAGGAAGGGCGGAGATAACTCTGCAGGAGTCCTACAGGAAACCATCAGAGCTGGAAATGTCCGAGCCTCAAGGTTCCTGAAGGTTGAGAAGTGGCTCTCAACCCTGGCTGCCTATGGGCACTCCCAGGGGTTTTGAAATCCCCTTGTCTCCACCCAGTCCAACTGAATCAGAATATGAAGCTTCCCACTCCTAGTGATTGTGGTTTGCTATTAAGGTTGAGGATACTCCACCCAGTTCAAACTCCTTTCAAACTCCTCCTCTTGCAACTGGAGAAGTAGAAACTAGTGGCTAAACTAGTTTAAATACACAATGAAGCTGGGCATGGTAGCTCACGTCTGTAATCCCAGCACTTAGGGAGACTGAGACAGGAGGATTGCTTGAGCCCAGGAGTTTGAGACCAGCCTGAGCAATAAAGTGAGACCCCGTCTCTACAAAAAAATTAAAAAAACTAGCCAGGCATGATGGCATGCATCTGTAGTCCCAGCTCTTCGGGAGGCTGAGGTGGGAGGATTGCATGAACCTGGGAGTTTGAGGCTGCAGTGAGCCATGATCACACCACTGCACTCCAGCCTGGGTGGCAGAGCAAGACCCTTTCTGGAAAGAAAAAAATAGATAAATAAATACACAATGAACTGTGGTCTCTTGGCTGGCAAGTGGCAGCTTTGGTCTTGAACCCAGGACTGTTTGCCTCCAAGAATGAGTACTATTGTTCTGACATTCTTGCTTTCCTCGAAAAAGTCAGATGTAGGATTGAACTGTTAGCCCCAGTTAGTGTGCAGGCTGAGCCTCTGTAGACGTTTCTTCTCAGAATCTGTGTGCTGGACCTGTTACAGAACTTGCAGGGTCCAGTGCAAAATGTGGGTTTGGGGCCCTTGTTCAGAAATGAAGAATTTCAGCATGGTGACAGCAGAACATTAAACCAAGTCCAAGGCCCTTCTGTTAGTGGTTCCATGAAGCCAGCCCTGGAAGATGATGAGAAAGAACTCAGGTGGCTTTAAAGAAAAATCTCCAAATTGAGAGTCCTACCTCTAGCACGGGGTAAACACCCAGCTGGGTACTTCACCTCCACAAGCCTCAGTGTACTCATCTGTAAAATGGGATCACTGGTGAAAATAACCCAGACTCCCTTTCTTGGCTATTGTGGAACTCTTTGGAGAATGTTGTCGGTGATAGAGTCTAAGGCATTTGTGAAGCGGGTTATGTGGATTTGGAAAGCTATGGAGGAATGTATTATCTGGAGACTGGTGTTTTCTGGGTCAGGATTTCTCGAAAATCCTTAGCAAAGCTGAAGCTCAGGGCATGGTGCTCAACAGAGCAGCATCCATGTCTCCTGGGAACTAGTTAGGAATGCAGAATCCCAGGCCCCACCTAGCCCAGCTGAACCCACCTGCACTTGAACAAGACACCCAAGTGACTTGTTTTTTTTCTTTTAGAGATGTGGTCTCACCAAGCTGCCCAGGCTGGTCTCAAACCCCTGGGCTCAGGCAGTCTTCTTGCCTCTGCTTCCCAAAGTACTGGGATGACAGGCGTGAGCCACCATGCCTTGTCTGCCCAGGTGACTTGCAAGCATGCCGGAGTTGGTGCTTTAGTGTAAAACTGAAAGGGACAGAAGCTGCTTATAAACTCGGAGCTCCTCCAAGGCAGAGGGTACTAGTCTGGCTCACTAGGCAGCAGTGAGTACTGGCTGCCTCACTAAAGAAATGAGTGAATGAATGAATGACTTCTGAATCCCTTAAGCCCCTAAGCATCCCAGTAATTCATTCAGACCAGTAGTTCTCAGGGACACATCAGACTCACTGGGGAGATTTTAAAACTCCTTCTGCCCCAGCAGCACCCCTCTATCATTAAATCAGAATTGTGGGATTGGGGGTGGCACCGGCATCCATGTTTTTATTTTTATTTAATTTTTTTTTGAGTCGGAGTGTCACTGTCGCCCAGGCTGGAGTGCAGTGGCACACTCACAGCCACCACAGCCTCGACCTGCTGGACTCAGGCGATCCTTCTGCCTCAGCCTTCCAAGTAGCTGGATCCACAGGCACATGATTTATTGTAGAGATGGAGTCTTGCCATGTTGCCTGGGCTGGTCTCTAACCCCTGGACTCAGGAAATCCTCTTGCCTCCGCCTCCCAAAGTGCTGGGGATTACAGACATGAGCCACCACACCTGGCTTAGCATCCTTTTTTTTTTTTAGTTTTTTGATTTTGGGTTTTTGAGTCAGAGTTTCATTCTGTCACCCAGGCTGGAGTGAAATGGATCACTCACAGTTACCCCAGCATCAACCTGCTGGGCTCAGGAGATCCTTCTGCCTCAGCCTTCCAAGTAGCTGGAACTACAGGTGCATGCTACTACACCTGACTAATTTTTTATTTTATTGTAGAGATGAAGTCTTGCCAAGTTGCCCAGGCTGATCTCGAACCCCTGGGCTCAGGCAATCCTCTTGCCTCGGCTTCCCAAAGTGCTGGGATTACAGGCTTGAGCCACTGTGCCTGGCCAATATCCATGTTTTTAAAAGTTCCCCAGGAGAGACTGGGATCTGTAGGATTACATCCGTCATCCCAGCACTTTGGGAGACTGAGGTGGGAGGATCGCTTGAGCCGGGCAGTTCAAGACCAGTCTGGGCAACATAATAAGACCTCGTCTCTACAAAAAATAAAAACATTAACCAGGCGTGGTGGCTCCAATAGTCCCAGCTACTCGGGAAGCTGAGGCAGAAGGACCACCTGACCCCAGGAATTTGAGGCTACAGTGAGCTGGGATCATGCCACTGCACTCTAATGAGCAACAGAGTGAGACCATGACTCAAAAAACAAAAATAGGCCAGGCGCAGTGGCTCATGCCTATAATTCCAGCACTTTGGGAGACCGAGATGAAAGGATTGCCTGAGCCCAAGGGTTCGAGACCAGCCTGGGCAACTTGACGAGACCTCATCTCTACAATAAATCAAAAAATTAGCTGGGCATGGTGGCGCACGCCTGTTGTTCCAGCTACTTGAAAGGCTGAGGCAGGAGGATCGCCTGGGCAACAGGGTGAGACTCCAACTCAAAAAAAGAAAAATTGAAACTTAAAAATGTAAAAAAGTTCCCCAGGTGAGAATCAGTTCCCTGCATCAGGGAGACCCAACCATGGTGTAAGTGACAGGGTATCAGCTGCCCTGTCCATTTCAGGATGTTTCTTAGCATCTCTGACCTCTACTCACTAGATGCCAGTAGCAACCCTCACCCCCCAGGAATGTTAACCAAAAATGTCCCTAGACATTGGTAATGTCCCAGGGGCATAGTCTCCCCCATCGAGAACCACTGATCTGTACTTTGAATCTCAAACTCCAGTGCTGCCAGGGGCCAGGCAGGTGGTA